TGATGTTGCATTGAGTATTATGCTCGTGAATATCATTTGCATCTCATTACATTTGTCAATAATCATGTTTTACACAAATTTTTGAGTAACTTTAGAAATTCATAAAAATCCAATTTTGATCGGAATCAGCTCAAACTTGCTACACAACATAAGTACATGTATATGCATCAGAAAATATTATAAAAACTAAGATTTCTCTTCTTTTCAATTTTGACAAAATTTGGCCAACACCCCTGTACTATTAGTAATGTGGTAGCGTTACTAAGTACATGTATTATTAGAATTGGGGGTACCTGTTGTTGTCTAGGATACGACCCTTGACCTCGTTCAATGCAGTGAGGAGACTCTTCTCAAGGTGACGCAAACGAAGGAGGAACTTACCTAATGAACAATTAATGAATTAAATTATTAATAAAAGATAATTAATGTATCTTTAATCAGTTATTAAAATACTTAACCCTTTTCTCAACAGTTGATAAATCATTCTTAATAACACTAGCATCAGATATAACCATTGCATATTCTTCTTTATATCTAAGTAAAGAAAAAAATTAAAAATATAACTTTCACTTTTAATGTATTTTGTTTTGTTCTTTACTTTGCTATAGAGGCTTCAAGTTCTGCTATTATTTTTGTCATTTCTTCTCCTTTTTGACGAGTGTCCTCAGCTTTGGTTTCCAAATCTTTCAATCCTTTACGTAACGGATCAACTCTCTTCAACATATCAGCATAACTCAACTATAGGAGAGAGAGAAGAGGATACAATATTATCAATACAATAAGGTACACAATTATTACAAAGAAATAAAATGAATAAAAATGCCTCAAGTTCACTTTTAATTGTGTGCATTAATTTAGCATTTTAGATCCATTTGGGAGTTTGGCTATATTTGAGGCTTTTCACTACATGGCTTTTTGAGCAACTTTAAAAATTCATAAAAAATTCAAATTTAATCAGAATCAACTCAAACTTTATACACAACATAAGGACAAGAATATGTATCAGTAAATATTACAAAAACTGAGAATTCTCTACTTTTTAATTTTGGCAAAATTTAGCTAATGCCACTGAACTATAGTACAGGGACTTTGACCCAATTTTTGAGCAACTTTAAAAAATTGTAAAAAATCCAAAT